GGATCTCTGTGAGTTCGAGGCCAGCCTGGTCTCCAAAGCGAGTTCCCAGAAAGGCTCAAAGCTACACAGAGAAACCCTGTCTCCAAAAACAAAAACAAAAACAAAACAAAACAAAACAAAAAACAAAAAAAGACTTTTTGACTTAATCACTATAAACTGTAGGAAAAATTTTGAAAGGCTAGACTTAATAGTATGGCCTAAATTTATTATTTTAAAGTTAACCTATATTCTTAGCCCTTGCTGAATTTAAAAATCTAAGAATGAATATTAAAGTACACATTTTACCTATGTCAGGATTACTGTAAAAATTTTTGTGTATGCAGAAAAAGATACTGCAACGTGTAATAATACTTCGAGGCAGCTTTCTAAATTATTAAAGATGGGTTAGATGAAAAGCTTATGTTCCTTTAAAAATACTTAATGTGTGTTCTTAAGGATTTAAAGTAGGTAAGTATTTAAAATCATCTTCAAAATCAAAACTATGAATAAAAATCTGATTAGTCACTTACCGCCAAGATTTTTAATCAGCCGGGATGCATCATGTCCTTTCTGAGTCAGTTCTCGGATCCTCTGCTCCTGTTTCAGTCTCTGTGCCAACTCCTGAGCTCGCTGCATTGTGTGGAATAGCTCATTTGTCTTTAGAGTCATGATTTCCTATCAAGATTGACATACACCATGAAACAATTACCAAGGACATTCAATGAAGTGACTGTTCCCATTCAGTACAAATGCTCAAGCTTTCCCTTACCTAGTGAGCACTGGTCTAGATAGCAGCTGAAGGACAGTCAATAGGGCCCTTTAGAGATTATAGTTCTAACATGCTTTTGTTCTTGCTATTAGACAGGGTCTCATCGTGTAGACCAGGCTGTCCTTGAACTCCCAAATGTTGGGATTACAGGTGTGCACCACCACTAAGCCAGCTGTCACAGCCTACTCAATGAAACTAGAGTGCAGACCATACCTTTCCACATCCCATTTCTGAAAGGTATCAAGTAGAACTGGCAAGGAAGTGCAGACTCAGTGTTTTTAAAGCTGACAACTGAAATATCACTGGACGGTCTGCATGGTCAGGTCAGCTCAGACAGCACTGGGACCACCCTACCTACCTTATCTGAATCGCTAACTGCTAGACAACAAGACATCCACTCTTTGAAAAGACTATTACCAAGCCTAACGGAAGCTCTTAACTCAGCCAGGAATTTCACCAGCAATTCCAGCCAATCACTACTCTTTTTTAATATCTACAATCATTATTACTTTAGATTTATTTAGGGATGAGGAGGTGGTAATGGTTGTACCACAGTATGTGTGTGGAGATTATAAATTAACTTTCCGAATCCTCTTCTGGAACATGGGTTCCAGGTACGGTGGTCAATACCCCTTACCTGCTGAGCCATCCTTTGGGCCCAATACCTAGAATTATTAGAAGGTTCTATGTATCGACTATCCAGCTCATAATGAAGCTTGGTGCTGTGTTCTCCCTGACCACCTCCCATTAGCAGGCCAAGCATGCAGCATCTGAGATCTGGACCATTCGAGGAATGTGACCTTGCCAAGCCTCCCCTTCCTTAGCTGTAATGTCTCCACGTGTAGTGCACCATTCAAACCATGTGCAGACACCAGCCTTTTCATCACTGCACCATACAAGTACCCACTTCCTTCTGTCTCTGCTTAAGAATGTCCTCTTCATACTGCCTCTGCATCTCCTCCCGTTCCCGAGCCAAGCGCTGCTCATCTTCCTGCTCTTCCTTCTTCCTCTGTTCTTCTTCCAGCCGCTTCTTCCTGCGGTTCTCTTCCACCTGAGCCATGATTGCTTTCTAGTCATAAATAATCACAAGTCACTGTCACAAATCAAAACTGATGGAGCACCCAGTTATCAGTCACACACATAATGGAATGGGGGAGAATTGTGCTTATCCAGCACGTGTAGCACAAAAACGAATCAACTAACGAAATTACCTCAGTACTCACTACCCTGACCGATAAATGGGAGATGTGCTCAGCTTCTCACTGAGTTCAAAAAAGAAAACTGGGCCAAATTACTCACAAAATGTTTAAAAGAACTGCTGAACCTAGGAACAGTGCTGTGTGCTGAGTGCCTATCTGCTGGGATACAGTGCTGTGTGCTGAGTGCCTATCTGCTGGGATACAGTGCTATGTGCTGAGTGCCTATCTGCGTTGGATACAGTGCTATGTGCTGAGTGCCTATCTGTGTTGGATACAGTGCTGTGTGCTGAGTGCCTATCTGTAGCCCCTGCTACTCAGAAGACCAGGTAAGAAAATGTTTAAGCCACATCTGAACAACATGGCGAGGGCTCATTTCAACACACAAACTCTTCAGAGAAAAGAGAACCACAAAAAGTCACTCAAGTCCCTCTAACATCAGAATAAAATGAGTTTTAATCTCAGCCTTATATTACCTAGTAGATTGCTTAGTCGGAAGTCTACTTTGTTTTTTTTTTTTCTTGGTATGTTTTCTTTCAAAGACCTGAACAGAACTCTGAGGAAGTAGCCAATGTTTAATAATAGTACAAAGTCATGTATGTAACATACTCATTTAATGGCTCCACCAGAAGGCAGGCAGCATGGCAATAACACTGTCTAGTTCTCAGCCCAAGCTGAAGTCTAAAATGACACCAGTTGTGTTAAAAGACTGGATTTACAGCAAGATATAACTGGACCCAAGCTGAAAATCTCCAACAATTTCCAGCTGTGCGTGGTGGCATATGCCTGTAATCTTGGGATTTGGGAGGTAGAGACAGAAGATCAAGAATTCAAGACCAGCTTTGGCTACATAGCAAGTTCAAGACCAGCCTAAACTACAGGAGGAAAAAAATTCAATTTTCCATTTACTTAGGTGTAAGGCAAAGAACAATGTTTACAATGTGAGGCACACTATGGAAACACTAGGTGTTTTACAGTGTGATACCTGATGTTCTAATTGTTTGTGCCGGCGCCTTTCCCGCTCCTCAATCTGTGCTGGGTCCAGGAGTGCAGTCATAGAACGGAGAAAGCTGTGAAGCATACATTAGTTATTCAAAACGCCAGAAAGGTTACATCCCCCCCCCCCCCAAGTTACATCTGCTAATCATTTCTATTTCAGAGAAAAATGCCAAACTGAAACTTGCTGGACACAGTTCTAGTCAATTGAATACACTTTCTAAAGGACTAAACACTAAAGTCAACATACTTTGTTTTCTGACTGTAAGACACAGCCATATCCCGAACAGGTCTGGATTGCTGTTCTTCCTCTGAAAGCTCCACCTGGACAGCAGGCGGAGGTGTGTAAACACTGTTGACATCGGCCAGCTCCTGAGTGTCAGGAGAGACACAAAAGGACTCCGGGTGTTGGTGTGGTAACTGACAGGACAGCCGAGACTGAGACCCAGGAAGGCTCTTTAACGAATCAAAATGCATTGCCCATCTGTCATGGTCCTCGCCCTAACAGTGACAAATGAGAAATGCTCAGAACTTTTTCAACTACTCCCATAAAAATTACCAATGACAAACACTGATCGGCTGGAGAGATGGCTGCTCTTCCAAGAAGAGACCTGGGGTCTGTTCCCAGTACCCAGCTAGCACATGGCTGCTAGCAATTGCCTGTTACTCTAGCTCCAGGGCATCCTAACTCTACTCTGGCCTCCTTGGGCACTGTACACATGTGATGCAGACATATATTCAGGCAAACACCTATAAAAATAAAAGTAAATCAAATCTCAGAGAAGTCAAGTAGTATATACTTCATAATAACTAACAAAATTGTATTTTTTGATTCTGTAATTAGATAACTATCTTAGGAATTTTTTAAAAATTCATTTCTAAAGTTTTAAAAAGCTATGTAAAACCACACTAAATGCATTCTATGACAACAGTTTCATAAGGATAAGTGTTTAATTTGCCCAGCAGTTTCAGAATATTTGCAAGTTTATGTGAGGAAAGACTGGGACTCGCACTTCCACTGAAGCCAGAGATTGCCGAGTTACCTTTGAATGTATCATTTTCTCCTCGGTTTTCCTTTGCTGGTCCTCTTCTACTTGTTTACTCAAGTCCTCCACCCACTTCCTCTGCTGCTCCTGGCTGACAGTGCTGCCCGGACGCTCCAGCAGTCCTGCTTCCTGAACAATCAGCGACCAACTGAGTCAGGCTCGACAGTGCAGACCTTACCAGGTTACTCACACGCATCTAGCCCAGGAAAGCTTTTATCCCCAGGAGAAGCAATGCTCTCGAGCGGAGAATCTGAACATACTACTAAGGAGACATGCCCTGACCCTCAGAATTGTATTTTAAATGTATACTGGTAGAGGGTGTAAAACATCTAGGTACACAGAAAGACAATGTTTTGTTTGATTTTTCATTTAAAAGTCTATAAAAATGCAGTTTTTGGAAAGAATATTCTGGTGACTGAATATCCAAGAATACAAACAGGAGAACTAAAATTCCATGGTATTTCACAAGTACTTGCTCAATAATGTTCACATAGCTAGGGAATGGAAACAGCCTATATGGCCTTTGACTGACGGACAATGAGATATGACACATATCCATAATGAAATACAACCCAGCTATTTAAAAAAAAAGGAAAGAAAAAAATAAATCTTGAATCACGAAATGTGCAGGTAAATGGATGAACTCGAAAATATACTGAGTGAAGTAACCCGGACACAGAAAGACAAATGCTGAATAGTCTCTCTCACCCATGGTTCCTAGCTCCAAATCTTTAGATGTGAATATATAACCTAGAGTAACGGTTCTCAACTTGCATATCAGATATTTACAATATGATCCATAACAGTAGCAAAATTATAGTTGTGAAGCAGCAACAAAATAAGTTTATGGTTGGGGGTAACCACAACATGAGGTATTACATTAGAAGGTCACAGCATCAGGAAGGTTGAGAAGCAGTGACCTAGAGAAACTGCAGAAGCCAGGAAAGTAAATGGGATGTGGGGGTGGGGTGAGGGGTACTCTAGTGAGATGATGGCAGGTAATACAGAGGGAAAATGGGGAAGGGGACCTCAACTGGGGAGGAGGAAGAGGGAAAACAATACGGAAGGCCAGAGGGAGGAGGGGTAAATAAGAATGCTTAAAAATGACATAGGAAATGATGTAATAATTATTAGTAATAGTTTAATAGCATTAAGTGTTGTTTTATATTTACCTAAAATTACACCTAAGTGTATATGTATACAAACGTATATAGTTTAGATGAAGTTACACCATCTGGGGTTATTGTACCCCGCCAAGAACCATAGACTATTTAGCAAAGCCCCTAGTACCAAGCACGAGAAACCTCCTTTAAGTTGCTTGTCAGAAGAGTGCGAGAGGATCCCAAAACAAGGTAGGGTAGTTCTACTTAGTTGCCTCCTAGAAGTTGAAGGTAAGTCCATATTGCTGAAGACATCACATCCTTAGAGGATTTGAGCATCCTTTCATAGTACAAGAAGTTAATCTATAAGCTAAGGGAGGAAGCAACCAATAGTCCTACCCAGCTGTGATGTCACAACAGTGACCAGCACAGCCAGATATTCCTAAAAGAACATTAGTGGCATTCGTGTCCTGGCAGTAATCAACAGCTGTCTAACTGGACTCAAGGCCTGCTTAACAGGAGGGAAATCACGCCTGCTACTGTAAACCTAGTCAACTGCATATAGCTAATGAGATCCTGGACCTAGAGAACCTACAACTCCCATTTACCTAAACTAATGTAGTTCCTAACTGTATTCTAAATACTTATCCTTATATCCACAGGTAAACACAGATCTCACCTCTCATCAAAGAAGTTTCTTTTTGCAGCAGCAGTAGCAAATCATCACAGACAGACATGACTTGTCAAAGGCCCAAATGATAAACAAACACTACAACACAACACCTACATCTAAGGCTCAGAGAACATCCCAGAAGAGGTAGTGGAAAGATTTTTTAGAGCCAGAGGAGTAGAAAGTCTGCTTAAGTGTGTCCTCTAGCTATGACAGGGAAGCGACGACACAACATGGCTGCCTAAAGAAGACGTGAACAATTAATTACAACAGTTGGCATCCCAGTGAAGATGGGGATATCTAGGCCCCACCCATAGATGAAGACCTACAAGCTGAAAGGGGGAGAATGAGTCTTCCCCAAGGATGAGGCCCCTGGTTATTCAATACCAAGAGGTCAGTTCTAGAAACATGTGCATGCAAGCATGTACCCTGAACTGACTCAGCAGGCTGTATTTATATGTTTATATGTCTGTACATATGTGTATTTATGTTTATGTGTTTGTATGTATGTGTATTTATGTTTATGTGTTTGTATGTATGTGTATTTATGTTTATGTGTTTGTATGTATGTGTATTTATGTGTCTGTACGTATGTGTATTTATGTTTATGTGTCTGTATGTATGTGTATTTATATGTTTATGTGTCTGTATGTATGTGTATTTATGTTTATGTGTCTGTATGTATGTGTATTTATGTTTATGTGTCTGTACGTATGTGTATTTAAATGTTTATGTGTCTGTATGTATGTGTATTTATATGTTTATGTGTTTGTATGTGTATTTATGTTTATGTGTCTGTACGTATGTGTATTTATATGTTTATGTGTCTGTACGTATGTGTATTTATATGTTTGTGTTTGTATGTATGTGTATTTATATGTTTATGTGTCTGTACG